CGCTCTTCTCTGTTTTTCCATTTTAATATTGATAAATAAATTATTATCTATCTGCGAGAGCAATGCGTTCCGAAAAAAAAATTCAAAAGTTCTAGATTACAAAATAAATTGTCTTCACACAATTTCGCGGTACATTTGACAGAAATATTTTCTAACGCAAATCCTGATATATCAATTTCCCTGACAACGTATGACAATTTTTATATTATTATTTTTCAAAGAATTATATTAATATTAATTATTTTATTTTTAACTCACAATCGCTGAAAGAACAAGGAGAATATCTAGCTCTAGAATCAATATATTTCTATATGAGATAGTTGTTTCTAAGCTCAACCAGAGAGATAACGCGACTTTTAGTGCACTCGGGTTAGGGGTTAATAAAGAAAAAGTGCAGCAATCTCTTTTACTCACCAAGTTTCGCGCGTGCGAAACAAACCGAGAGTCCATTTATCGTTGTAACGACCATTAATAGATTTTAATACTGTTCGCTCAGATCTGATTCTCGGTACCGTCTTGTCCGATAAATCGTCTGGACAAGAGTCACGAGTTCTCACGCTGATTTCACGGCGTCATTTTCGCGTGTTGTGATGCTACAGAGGCGTGTTGCGTAAATCGAGAGCATCGTACTAAGTGACATAATTCCTTGTCAATACACGTACATACGCTACACGAATGTAGCATATATACGATAACTGATATTTCGTTTCATAAAATTAATAGTACAAATGTTTTGAAGAATCCCTCTCTCTCTCTCCCTGATAATCTTTACATCAAGATCTTTACGTCATTCAGATAGTTCTGCCCAAAAGAAGACACTTCTTAACGCAAACATAATTAAGAAAAATTAGTTTAAAAAAATTTTACTCGACAATAATAGCAGCGTTCTTATAACATAATCCTGATTCTCTTTTAGTAGATGATGGAATAATATATTACAAATTTATCGATTTTTTGTCCTCGTGCGTAGCTGAAGGTTTTAGTCTCTTTGACGAGGAATAAAAAACTTTGTAAAATTATCCAGTTTTCTCAGCAAAGCGTTAACATTTACCATCTGGCAGATATGTGTACATTATTTATTTATATATTTTTGCTACACGAGCTTGATACACGCGCACTAAATTTTTCTTGTTAAATGGAAATTCAGGGAAGACAAATGATAACATGCTCTCGGAAAATTCCTTTCTGCTATTGATTAATTAAGAATGGCGCCGTCTGATGTGAGAATAGAATGTTGTTTCGTTCGTCCACGCTGTAGGGTCCAAGTTCAGTCTTCGCTCGACCTGGCTGTCTCATGTAATCGAGAGAAAACAACAGAATTTTTTCTTTACTCTTTTTTCTTATCGCCAGTCCAAGTTATAATGCGTGTCAACATAGGCCAGACAGTTATTGTGAAATACGACAAAATAAATTAAAGGTACATGAAAATCGCCATAATTCAAGAATTATTAATAACACGTCTGGCTGTCAGTAGAAATTAATTAAACGCTCACGGTGTAATGCAAGAAAAAACTGATATAATTTATTAAATCCCCATAATTAAATGTCTAGTCCTTCGCGATGTTATCTCATTCTCTTATGTATATACATTGTTATAAAATGCAAGGTGCATAATACAGTAGCACGAAGGTATAACATCAACTCCGGAATTAAAGACCGGGAAGAGAAAAAAAATAAGGGAAAAAGTTAATGACATTTTAATGCTTATGCGATTATAATGAGATCACAATTGTTATTGCTGTATTTACATTCTCGGTAGAATGTTAGGAGCTTCTTTTTCTTGCAAGCCCCAGGTCGCGTGTTTATTAATAGAGACCGAGGCCTGTCCGCACTCGCGTAGATTTTCTCATAATGTAGCTGCCAATAATCTTTTTATAACGGCAAAAATCGTGTCAGGTCAGAAACGAACATATTCCGGGAAATGGTGTAGAATGTATTTCGCATTTTTAGACACTTAGCAGCTCGGTCAGCGGTTCACACACTGGGAAATTTACCAATGAACTTTGCACTGAATCCGACATTTTGTCACGCGGACTTGAAGAAAATAGAAAAATACTGATTAGAAAAGATTGCAGCATTCAGCACAATCGTAATCAATAAACAGGAAATTAATATTCAGATAAAAATAAAGAAAAATAAAACCGGATGTCAAGATTAATTAATTCATAACAATTTGTTAAATAATTCAAATAATTGATTACAACACCCCAATGTGCGATTCAGTAATATTTGCACATATGCATATCGACAATCAATCCTCTTGCAAAGAGAATTCTTAAACTATCGATATCATATTTACATTTAGATATTATTTCAGTTATATGCTTATTTAATTACACGTCACATTGTTAGAACTAAAACTGCAATAAAGTTCTATTTTTTTTCGATCCTTTCTGGTATTTTTTCAGTACAAAAAGCGTAATTAAGTATATTCGTGCAAAGAGAGTGACGTCAACTCGGATTCGCCGGATTAAAACTGAAATATAGTCTGCCACGTCGTAGCGATCGAGAAATATGGCGTTCGTCATTACCAAGTCGAGACTCGACGTTATTACCCCACAAAGCTATAAACTGATTTTACATTGATGTACTTCAAAGTGTACATTGGTGTATTTCAAAGGAACGAAACAAACATCTTAACCCCATGACGAAATCGTTCTGTCGCGTCTTTCATATGCAGTAGCCAAAAAACAGAATTTTTTTCTGTACCTACTCTTTTTTCTTATCGCCAGTACAAGTTATAGCTCAAGTATGCGTGTCAACATAGGCCAGACAGTTATTGTGAAATACGACCAAATAAATTAAAAGTACGTGAAAAACGCCATAATTCAAAAATTATTAAAAACACGTCTGGCTGTCGCATTAGTCAAATCCATCTGCCTGAGAGACTGAGACTTTGACTTCAATATTAATGTAAAATATGTATTTTGTCTCTTGTCAAATTTAACAGTCATCAACTTTTTTATCGTCTGTCTTCTGCAAAGTCTACTCGATGCCTTCGTAATTACGTTAATTACGGTAATTTGACAAAACCAGTCGCTTTCCCACCCAATGTCTAGAATACTTCTTCATCTTTTTCCTCCACGTGTCACTTCCAAAAGAGGATGCGATACGATCAAATCTTTTTGCTAAATAGGGAAATTTCTGATGTGTTTTAGGGACTGATGTTATTTTTCGATATCGTGCATGGCAACTACTTCTGTTACCAGAGAGAATGTCCGGTACAAATAAAACAAAAAAAAAAGAAAACAAAATTAATGACCCTTTCAAATCTCCATTATTTTTTTCTGGCATTAATGATCCAGCATTATCTTATCCATATGTAGCGCGTAAGTGATCGCCTTTTTTCGGATATCTGTCTATTTTTCTGTATCTTTTTGAGACGATTGACGCGACGCGATCCGTTGGGCTTCTTTTTTTAGACAAGCGGATTTAGGATTGTTTTTATAGATAATCGATAAAAAAAGAGAAAGAGGGGAGAGACTCGCGCTTAGTTAGCCGATAACCTCGTGAAACTCGCAGGAGAGGAGGTCAACGAGCGCCGGCACGCTTTTCTCGTTCCGTGATAGCGGCGTCGCCGGTCCGTGCGATCGAGTTGTCTATATTTAGATTATCAATCGAATAGATAGATATGCGAAGAAATATGTTTAGATTACCAACAATCGTCGAAACAATTCCGAGAAAATATAGTGAACTTTTCAGACCAAGTACTCCTCGCCCACAAGATTAAACCGAGAGACTTTAATCATCGGGGAGACTTTAATCATTTTTTTTACGAGGGAAATCTGCGAGAAATAAAAATAAAAATCAGTAAAAAAAATTAAATAACAATTTAATGCTCCACCTACGAGTGTTGGTAACTGAGTAGCTTATTATAGAAAATCCTGAAATAATCATGTAAAACTATAAATGTCGTTCCCCAGACGTTATTTTAAGATGTTATTTCTCCCACATCTTATCTCTTCTATATATTTACTTTATTATTCAGTCCTCCGTTAATAATTCAAACAACTATAATTATTCTCCGAAGAAGGTACATATAAGGAGAGTGTTCAGAAAATTTGAACGAAGAAAATAATTCTCCTTCGTCATCCGGATATGTCAATGTAACCGCGAGCAATTTTATCACAGTAAGTACCTTAAATATCTTATTCTTTATTTATCGACCAACTACAGTAGGGTTTTATTTCTGTACGAGCTGTCAGTGATCTAATATCAGAGGAAATAATATAATGGACTTATATAGAGAGAGAGAGACCTATTTTTATTTCTAGCGAAATAAAAATTCGTCATTAAATTCTGAATTTTCTTCTTCGAAAAGTTCATCGAGCTATTCCCGAATCCTTTTTGTTTTCATTTACACATTACATTGTAAAATAAGGAAAGATTACGAAAGTGAGCGCATATTTATAAACATGATTAATAGATCATATATACGTTAATGTGAAAAATTGACTTTTACACGATGCTCTCAAAGTATATAACCTCTGACCCTATTCTCACCTATATATAATAATCGATGAAACTTAACGCGGCTTGAAATTACAAGGGTTAAAACGCCTTTAAAAGAAATAACGCGCACATTCCATTAATTATAGCACGTTATCATCCGGTCAAGTAACTTAAAGAAAAACATGTACTGTATCGAGACTATAAAAAAATCAATTCGAAACAGATAAAAAGTTAAAAGATTAAATTCCAACAAAAAGCAAAACAAATTGCTATTTATTCTAGGATATTCTGTAATTCGATAAAAAAAAACATGCATGTCTTTTTTTACTGCGCATGTATATTTATTAAATTACAGGATATGTCTAAGAATAATTGCAATTTAATTTTTACCATCATTTTAGAGATATAATTTTAATAACTAAGTAACGTGTCAGAAATCTTGAATATGTAATTCTTTCTCTCGTTCTATCGCTAATTTTTCTTTTTCGTTTCTTTAACGAGGCATCGATGAGCCAGGTGCGCAAACTAAATATAGCTCTCTTAGCACATTTTCACTTAAGGCTGAAGAAAAAGGGCGCGCATGTTCTGTACACTAAGCCTGGATAAGACTGGAGCGTCGAGATAAGTGTCGGCGATCATAAAAGTGTTTTACATCACCGATGCGTCTCCGATCGTCCTCTGGAAGGAAGGACGGAGCGAAGAGACAAAACGTATTGTTAATGCATCGTCATGTGGCGTTCCAAACAGTCGGAGCAATTATTCGCGATGCACTCGCGGACCCAAGCCGAGCCGAGTGGGAAGTGCATCGAACCGCGATGCAACTCGTTGCAACGCGATGATGAGTCAGCGACCGAGTCGCGACGCGACGTATATCTGCGGAAGAAACGCGGCGTAAAACCACACCGAGACGCGTAATAAAGTGATAAAAGAAAACGTCAAAGTCACATAAAATTAATAATAACCGCTCGTCGTCGCGTGATGGCACGCGGCAAATGCATATGCGCGATGCATCGGCAATTGATCCGTAATTAATTAACCGCGCGATATCCGAATGTTTCTGAAAGTAATGCGTATATTTTATACACAATGCTGTGTGCGGACGCTATATTACACTCTCATATACTGGTTTTTGCAATAAAATCATATACGCGCGATGCATAATTATTCTAATAATAGTTAATGACGCAGTTAGTGACGTCGTCGTCATATTGTTTATTACGTGCTCACCCTTTGAGAAGCGCGCGACAGATCGCTATGAATAATGCATCCATTAAATATCATCGAACACGCGAGGGGGTTCATAATCGACGAGACACCCTGCGAAGGAAGCAGTGGCGATTAAGACATGGATAGTAATAGTAGTCCGCCGTTAGCGTCCACCAAGAAGAGGATTAGTCCTCCGATCAGCTGGGGCCTCGGCCTTGCCAACAAGACGGTTAAAGTGATCTTACTGGGTCAACCGGGTGTCGGCAAGTCGGGTGAGTAATTAATAAAAATTACTTCGGCGAAACGTAAAACCGACAGAATATATGCGTTAGATATAATCATTAAATATTTGACTTTGGTTCATTAAATCAAGGCCAATAATAATAAGCAACAATTATTTATTAAAGCTCGCGAAATTTATAATCGCAGATAATTGTAGATTTTTTTTTTTAATAAAAAATTCATATTACGTAATGCTAATATATATAGATTATCCCGTAAAGACTGAATCAATGCTTAAGGGTAGATTTCTAGGATCATTTGGAGATTATTTTTTTCAGCGAAAACGTCGAGGGGGATTTTGCCATCATGTATCTTTGTAACTAATTGTACGCCTTAAATTAAATTTTTATTAAAGTAAACTCTACATGAAATTAATTGAAGAAGGTATGATTTTGTTAATATTTTATTTTCACAAGGCTTAGTTTGTGAAAAAAGAATCCTTTATTTTTAATCGTTTCGAAAATTATTGGTTCTTCGACATTTTTGCTGAGGAAAAATCGTCTCCAAATGTTCCCGTTAAATACCCTTAATTAATCTGATTTACGGGACACTCTGTATACATATTTGATATCTCATAAATTATTTGCTCAGCTTTAGCTGTGCGATTCGCCACGAAACGCTTCATAGGCGAATACGATTGCACGACGGACAGGATCTATCGGGTCGACAATCATCTGGGAACCTCGTGGGAGATAGCAGATCCTCCAGGATCTCCACCAACCTCGGCTGAACCGAAATTACGATGGGCCGACGCGATAGTTCTCGTTTATTCAGTGACGGACCGCGTCAGCTTCGACGAGACTTCTCGTCTAAGGTACATATTTGGTGCAAATGGACCCAGAAGAAAAATAAATACCGTGTATTGTGTAAAGTAATTTCACGTATAATTTAATGATTAATTCTTAATTTTTTAATTAATCAATTTAATTATTACGAAATAAAAAATTTGTTCTGAAGCACACACACGTCGCGTACTTCCAGGTTTTTGGTATCGCACGCGAGGAAAGGCAGAAAAGTGCCACCGGTTGTGCTGCTTGTGGGAAACAAGGCCGATCTTTCTTGCTCGCCGGGTGAGCGGATGGTATCTGCCTTGGAAGGCCAGAAAAGGGCAAAAGAAATCGAGGCTCATGCTTTCCACGAGATTTCAGTAAGGGAATCGGTTGATCAGGTAATTATCCGCGATGTCCTCGATCAATTCGACGACGTAAAGTAAGAAAATAAAATAAGAAAAAGAGAAAGAGACAAATCTCTATTTAGTCGCAGTAATAATCGGGTTCTGATTATGGTATCACATCGTTTCGATTATTTAAAAATAGTGCTCATCTTTAAAAATTATTGCTTCGGGGAGATCGGTAGGCTATATAAATGAACGGAAAGTCTGATAAATGTTGTCCTATCAGTTAATCGCAGTGAAGGTTATTATTCTAAAACGATTGTTTTTATTCCACGATCACGCGTAAACGCCATGATCGCATGAGCCATAAACAAAATCTATATCACTCAAAGCGGGCGATACGAGCAACCAGCATTTTCGTGCGTTTATCTACGCACGCATTGTAATAATGCGACGTATTTTAACACTTGGTAATAATCATAATAGAAATTATAAGTAAAATTAAAGCAAATTAAATCTTTAAAAACCTTTTTAACAAAAATATATCATTGTATTCATTTCAAGTAGATTACGTGTTTCAAAATTTTAATTAAAAATTCAGTGACGAAAAAATTAAATATTTAAATATATATTTTTAAATATTAAATAGTTAAAAATATTTTTAAATATTAAATATATAAAAATATTCTCTTCTAATTTTTCCGTGAAAAAATCTTAATATTGTTTCAAAATTTGTAACTTTTAATAGTAGATTTTTCTATATATGTCGCTTTAATAATAATTTGATGTTACCATAATTAAGACACAGATAATTAATATATACTTAAAATGTTAGAAGAAAATGCAAAGCGATACGTGTAAGACAAATTCGGTGGAAACACGTATTCTTTGATTTCATAGGGGTACAGGAAAGTAATATTTTATAAATGACGTATACGAGTGAAATGGAAGATATAAAGCAACTGATTTTACACGTATCGCGATAGAGAAAGAAAAAACATAGAGATATATGACGTGAATGATAATGCTCACGCCGTCAACGGCTGTAAAAAAAAATTATTTAAGATAATGTCAGGGACTTTTATATAATGGCGCGGTCATGACAATTTGCGATTATTTCCATTCGACAGGTCACGGTCGTATTTATGAATATACTGAAACTGCTGACTGAACAGCCAGGACAGCAGCCGTCAGCTTTCAGATTGAGGGCTTCCACAGACGGGACCATAAACACTCTCCGTCGAGAGAAAGAATCACCCCCTCCAGCGAGAAGAAGATTTAGCATTTCCGCTCGTGGAAATCTATTGTAATGTCTTGTGTATATTATTTTAAAAATTTCATATTTTTTTTATTAAACACACCATAGAGACATTATATACGAAAAATTGTATTTTAACTGTTTTAATAAATAATATATTTGTAAGAAAAACTCTTTTTGCATATAACGTGGCAAGACAATAAAGTTTTCATTTTTTGTTAATGATGCAGATTCACGCATGCACCACGATAGTGCCACGATTTTTTAAATATACACGGCATTACATAAGGAAAATCCTTATGCAATTATAAAATCGAGAATTTTATTGCATATAACCATCCTGTAGCTTATTTAAGCTACCCGTGCTTTATCGCGAGCGCAAGAGCTTTCGAATTTTCGTCTTGTATTGCTGCTCTGCAACGAGATACCGCGTTGAAGGCAGCTTTCCCGACTACAGGACATGAGAAGAGATCAGAATAACAAGGATGCATCTTGTGCAATAAAAGAACTTACCTCTGAGTCTCGCCGCACGCTGCACACCGATATTCAATTCTTTCAGACTGGCTGCGAGTTCTCGATGACTGTTCAGCCGAATTTCGTGTTCTCGGATCAAGTCGCCGTTGATATTCTTTAACTGCATCAATCTTTTTCGCATATCGTCGATATTCTCGAGGATCCTAGCGTCTTCTAAACGAATTACAATACTCTTCAAAAGATTGGCGCCGCCCGCGGCTTCCGCCTGGAGTCGCGCCTCGACTTCCTTCAAACCTAAAACCAGAAACGTCAAAGTTTTTTTTATTAGATATAATTTTTGTTTGAAAAATGGCCATTGCTTTGGCCTGAGAAGAGAAATTTACTGATAAAAAAAAATTAGTTTGTATTTTCTCCTTCCTTCCCGTACCTTTAACACGTTCCAATGCGTCCAGCATTCTCGTCTCTTCTGCAGGAAACGTGGCTTCCGAGTTCAGCTCTCTGACGCCTAAATACATAGCGAGAGATTGAATGATATCGCCAGCAAATGTCGAATCATCCGTCTGGATAATCACTTTCCCATTCGCATTCGACTTGAAGCAGTGTATTTCGTTGTCCCGCATCCCGCGAAGCCACACTTCGATACATCCGGCATTTGAACCATTTTCCGCGATCTCCAGTTCCTCTCCCAGGATGAGACTCTGATTCAACCAAATGGCGATGCGCTGCGGTCTCTCCGCGACCTATAAATAAATCAGATATTTATTTTAAAATCAATTGCATCAACTCTTTTAGAAACTTATTATTTTAAGTTAATAAAATTAATTATTATTTTTAATTTATTTTTTAAACGTGACTTACATCTGCTATAACGCCATTACTCGATAATTCTTCCGAGATCTGTTGCGGTTTCGGGATGACTTCGTACATGCAGAATTTTGGCAACTGGCGCGTTACCTCGAAAACCTATCAAACGTTAGGAAAGAATTAAAATTAGAATGATCTAACTCTCGTAAAATATGTTGCGTGATTATCAAATACCTGCAATAAGTCGGCACCAGGAGGTCCAACATATACTTTAACGTGGATGTCCACGGGATCATTTTTGGCAGGATAAAGCGCGATCTCTAATTCTCCTTGTGGCCGATTGGGATGCGTTACCAACGTTTCACCCTCAAAAACACCCTCAGCAAAGACTATAGCGCAATGTACCTAAATATTATTTTAAATTTATGAAATTTCGCAATTTTTTAACTATTTTCTATAGAATTCATTAACGAAAAATTGATTTAAATTGGAAATAGTTATAATAATAAACATAAACAATGCATATTAATGTATAAATGTATATTACCAAAAGTCCAGGACCAGCAGCAAGTGCAACGCGAGCTGCACCCCTTTGTGTCAACAAACTGATGGCTAATCTTGATCCATAATACATATTGGAACCAGTTGCAGCCCTTTGTCGCAATTCCATTTGAAGCGCCTGCTTTCTAGCTAATAACTCACGTATTAGCTCTCCAGGTTCTGGAGTTTGCATCGCAGATCCAGTACTATATCCACGTACTGAAAAATATGCAACATAAATATAAAAATATAATATTTGTGAGATCGAACAAAAATAATAAATAATAAATTAATCTATATTTTCATACTTTCGCCATTAGTAGAAATAACCACTAAATCAGGCTTGCCCGTTCTTCGATAATCAGCATCCACTATACCCGCTACACTGGATGGCAACTGAATTTTAAACATGACCTCGCCAGTATTGTACGTTCTCGCATCCACTTTCCCGCTACTCCAACCAGTAATTAACTCTAGTGTACCATCGCCGTTTATATCGAAAGTTCCTACAGATACTACTTTGTGCTTTGACTGAAATAAATATTATTGTAGCATGCAATTACAAGAAAGTCCATTTTAAACAATTTATAATTCGCGACAGAAATTTATTTATAATTTTGTTCATCTACTCACAACGAGAAATGATGGCCGAATACCGAATCGATGTCGATTCATCGTCGTCGAGTCAAATCGATATATCGATATATCGATCGATTCGACTAATCATTTCTCGCTGCGATATCCCGCCAATATTTATGCGTGCATTCTGATTGTATGTCGTATTTGTATTTTACTTTGTGTAAAAATGCATTTTTTACATTATATACATGATAAATAAAAAATTATAATAAAATTTTCCCTCGAATTTTAATCCTCTTAATGCAAATTATATATCGTTAAATTCTTTTTACCTTAACTCTCCACAATCTCTGTCCTGCTTCATAGACACCGATTGTTCCATTATCAACAGCATAAGCGAACTGTCTGTTTGAAAGATCAGTGAGAGCAGTAATCACTGCTGTTTCTTTAGTTTCCCAAAGCATAGTATCTTCCTTTTGCACTCTAATTTCAAAGTCCGTTGTACCGATCAGTAACTGCAGAGAATAACACAAAAAATAATTAATTTAAAAATAAATTAATTGAAATAATAAATAATTTGTTTTAAATTAATTTTAAAGAAGCAAATAATTTGCAAACAAATATTGGCTATGAAATACATGTAATTAATAAATAACATCTACCTCATTTTCGCCATCTCCATCAAAATCAAACACTGTCAGAGAAGTGACGACGCCTCCCATCACGATCCAAAATATTTCCATACCCTGAGCATCTAAAATCGTGACTGAACAATTGCCACCTACTATTGCAACTTGATTAGGTAGCCAACCAACTTTCGCAACAATTATACAATTCGCGCCGTCTGACATCTAAAAAAATTAATATAATCAATAAATCATGAATTATGAATTCTGCTAATTTAGAACTTTAAGCAAGAATCAGTACCTCTTTGTAGAAGACATCGGCATTATCTTCCACATGATAAGCGAGCACATGAGAGACAGTACCGATCAGCAGAATATCCCGCTCGTCCTCTCCAAGGCGACCGGTGCATAATGATTTCACCTAAATATATGAATTTTTGTCAATTAAAAATATAAAATAAAAATGCACAGTATTTTCTTTCAAAACAATTAATAATATTTTAACTCTAACACGTGGTTCCGTACCTCGGCACCAATTTGAAGCTCCGCCAGTTCCCCGCTCCACGATAATCTTTTATTGGATTGCTTATTGTGATCGGAGTAATCGATCTGCGGTTGCCTATGAGGACTATGCACCAAAATATTTCCACCAGGTGTAGCAGCCGCGAGACACGCGTGCGATCCATCAAATTTTCCACTCACAACAAGACCTGCCTTAATATGTTTCTGGATATTTAAAGAGAACTCTGCCATATCTCGTTTGCACGTGGGATCATCACAATGTGCTTCACGAATGTTGTGCCTTCACCATTGGCATGGTGATGGAATATTGATTTTCTACATAGTTATATCTATAGATGTGTCACAACTATTATGCAATATATGTACATTACATTAGAACATTATTTCGTTATATTTACAATAATAATATAAGCATGCAATAACATATGACATACAATAATAAAATAAGCATGCAATAACATATATAGTAATAACATAATCACAATTTAATAATTATATTTATTTTAGCAGAAAAATGTAATATTATTATACATATGTAAAATAATACTTAGAGGAAACATTATTAATGTATCATATTTTATTACTGTTACAATATATAAATTTGGATAAATTTCCGTAAGACCGTCCTCTGGGGCGTAATGCACACACAGGTACAAATTATTAATTTTCATTAGGAGATCATTGTCTTTGTGCACTTCCTCCTGCAGCAGCTTCTGGATTTGTTGCAGATGACAGCAGCAGAAAGATCAGTGCAGGAACAATATACATCCACTGAAATAAAACAAATAAAAATAAATGAGATGTGCAAAATTGATATAATATACATATAAATTTCTTTCAATAGAAACGTGCTTACATATTTCGCAAGGAATGAACGATTATCTTTGGTCTCTCCTCTCTCTCTCGCTTCTCGTTCTCGTTCGAGCTTTTGAATGTACATAGCAGTATCTGGAATAGGACCGCCATCCGGATATCTAACCACGACACTAGTGGTCCACATATTTGTAAAGGGATTATCTAATGTACAAGGAGCCAAGGATGAAATGCTCACGGCTATTGGCTCTGCCGCACTGTCCAACCACACTGTTATTACATCTTCTAGATCGGAACCAAGCAGATAGCACTAGAAAATAATCAATATAATTAAACATATCCACAATGAAGTAAAAAATGGGACAAGAATCATTCACGCATCAAGATATATTTTGAATATTCCTGAACGTAAGCATCTTTAAGTGGATTTATCCTTATCGATAAATTTATATATCAACGATACAGTTTCTGGAAGTTTATCAAGTGTCATTACCGCTGGCACCGAGGTCAGGAACGTGATCTCGCTGCCGGACGAAGTGCGAGCCAGTGCCTTCAGCCTATATTTGCCATCGTGTTCGGCTAGATTCTTCAGCGCGCTTATCTGGGCTGGCAACAGACCGTTCTGTCCTACAACGGACGCGCCACTACGCACGCTGGATACGGTGATGTTTCCTCGTTCCGTAAACACGGGCATCGGGTCGTCGTTGAACGCATGCCACAACCGCAGTTGCAACCAGCCATCGTAGTCGAGCTCGCTCTAAAATTTCAAAACTTTCATGTAACTTCGTCGAAATTTTTACGAAATGTCAGAAAAAAATGAGTACTCACCCCGTGAACAAGATCCACGAAGGATACGTAAATAGTACACTAACAATAACGTAGGTTAAATACATTTTCGCGACGATGCACAAATCGTAATTAGTGTGAAGATAATTATAAAGTCACTGGTGAAGAGCCACGTTTCATCGTACGACGTCGATTTCTAAAATCGTGGTATATTTGCTCTTACTATCATGTCAAACGTGTGCAACTGTGCAGGCATAAATACACATACATAGGACGATATTTAAGGTTATAACAGCTGTTCCATTTTGTCCATAGACGTAGCAGATACAAGACTACGTTGTTCAAGATTTAAATGTCAAAATTTTTAAAATGCTTTTACAAGAAATAAATATAAAAATAATATATTATTATAATATATTCTTATATAAAATATTTATATACTAGATAACACAGCGAGTTTCATTATATATTTGAAGATGATATATATATATATATATATAAACTGATATTTTTTTATTATATGTATAAGAGCAACAATTTTAAAGTTTAATTTTCTAAAAATAAGGAAAATGAGACATGGCAATTTTTTGTGAGAATATTTGTTTTTTTAATGTTTTGTATAGTGTGTATATAGTGTATGATGAATATATTTTATTATAAGGAGAGTGAACAAATGTATTCAAATACATATTTTGATTTGTATAATAGTGTATCTCCTATTGTTCTTATTCCATTTAAATGTAATATGCATAGTTATAATTTGTGTAGAGTCTACAAATACATTATAATCTTAAAAAGTTAGCTGCTAGATTATTAATTGCACAGTGAATTGATACCAGTTTAGTTAGGATAAAATCGCATTAATTGTGCTTCTCCAAAATCACAATATGTGAACAACAATTTGCTTATATAAACTTTTTCGTTTATCTACTTCACATTATAGCACATTTTATGTGATTTAACACGATTAACACGGCATTTCGCAATATATTTATCTAAAGTTCTACTTAAGTTGGCAGACTTCTCGAATAACATATAATTTGATTAATCTTGTTCCGTCAATTCTTTGTCGAAAATAAAAACGCCGAGGCCTTCTCCAACTCTCTCCAAATTCGTCACATGATCAGAGATCTCTTTTATCGCGTCCACTTGCTCTTGCAAGAATTCAGTCTCCAGAAAGTCCATAAAATTCGCGTCGTTGTGCGTCGAGGCGATCCCATGTAATTCGAGCAGTTTCTGTAAAAATAAAAAAAGTTAATCGCGAATAAAATATGGTAAATTACATTACGCTAGTTTTAAAACAAGAATATACAGATATAATGTTGAAACGAAAGAAAAAAAATTGGGTTGGAGGAGCTGGGATTTGAACCCAGGACTTTCCGCATGCGAAGCGGACACTCTACCACTGAGTTACACCCCCGATAGTTTACAACGTAGCTTAAAATCGTGGTATTTCAATCAATAGATATACATGTATTCAACAAAGAAATTATATTAATTTATGATAATTAAATTAACGGACAGTGCAAGAAATTTTAAAAAATAATTAACAAGACGCACGTAACTTAGTCTTTCCTGTTAGTCATCGACCTATTTAAGATACTTATTATCAGTATGATAATTTCCGAACTATAACATAACACCATCATTCTTTCTCTTCGTATAATAAAAAATTTATAATTATTATAAATTTTCCCTCAGATTATTTATATCAGAAATACTT